TATAGATGCGAAGCAGCGGGTGCTAACGCTTACACTATAGCGGCGAAGTTGACGCTGGCACTCGACGTTGACGCTGGGAGGCACAAAGGACGCAGTGATGGACCGTTCTTTCTAACTAGAACATGCCGATCGCTGTTAATGGGCAATTAGAGACAATGGACGCTGATTGGCCACAGAGACCTGCTGTGCACCTTTAGTGAACGCGCGCTGCGAATTTTTACTGTTCAACAAGACACATGATAAATCTCCCACCGCCACCACATTGGAGGTTAAAGGGTCCCTACAACACTTTTCGAGCATGTTCAAAAACGCTGCCGATCGGTAGTTGCTCCCGAGAACACGCAAGCCAAATATTATAGCGCAGCACGTGGCCTAGAATTCACAAGAAATTATGAAAATCAGCTGAAAATTTCTTTCTCTTCTCTCGAAGAAAGACGAAGGAAACTCAACAACCACTCATAGAAGGCCTTTTATCAGCCATTGACTTTGACTCGGCCGCTACGAAAATCGCCGCGGGAGGCCGTGACTTGTCCACGCGTGCGCGTGCGATCATCCTGAATAAGCTGTGAATTTGAAGAAAAACAAATCAGCATATTCACGGAGTGAATGATGATGAGTGGGGCGAAGCGTCCATTCATCCGTTCGTCTGTGTATGCGCCCATGCGTCCGATCGCGTTCGAGAATGCAGACGGCGCGTGGGTAACACCGACGAGACGCGAGCCAAGGAAGCCGAAAGTGCAAGCGTCTTCAACGCACCCGCCGCTTTGCTTCGTCCATGCCCCACAATCAATCGCCCCCGTACAGCGACTCTCCAAGAGACTGAGAGAGGCGCTCGTTCTCCGCGTATACCCAGGCACAGCCCGCTCAGCATCCAATCGGAGAGTTGTGGTACAGCACCATCTAGAATATCCTCACTCAATTGCAGTTTGTATGTACTTTTATAAGACAGCACCGTCTAGTATACTGTTCGGGAAATACTGCCTTTTTTTCTTTCTCGTCTTTTCGTCTCTCTGTCACGCGTGACGCATGACAAAAAAAGTGCTCAAGGTCACGAGGTGCGCGTGACCTCTTTGTTCCTGCCATCTTTCGCTGCTTAGCTTCCAGCGCTTCCGTCGGGACGAGAGAAGAGAGAATGCGATTGCAGCGTGTAACAAGTCGTTGTAACTCTGCTCGTACTGGCTGGATTCTTATCATTTTTGCGAGGTTGAATTCGTGAGGCAATAAGCTCTTCTAGTGAATCCGTTTCATGGTTACCTGAAAAAGTGTTTCAGGTTGTCTTTAAGATCCTGTGGCTATATATACGAGGTGGCCAACGAGCGTATGTGCAGCGCGAGAAATCGGTTTATTCAATCAAGAAACTGGCTAGCACACGCTCCCTGCATCGGCGTTGCGAGGCGAGAGAGGATGGAGCGTCGTAGAGGAAACAGAAGTGGAGCGCACGTGGATGCACAGTAAGGGTGGCCACGCCGCACACCGCGCTGAGCTCGACCCTAAGCTGCTTCGCATCTAATAAGCCTTCCTATCGACAAACTCTGGTTGCACGTGAAGAGACTGCTCAGGGGCTTTTTTTGTTTTTTATGTATACCTTGTTATATAGTGTGCGAGTTGTGTTGGGTTATGGCGTTCTCTAACGAGCTAAAGTAACAGTGCAATGTTGCAGCTATTCAAAATTTGCGTGCGAAGTCTGTTTAGACATTTTCTAAGACATAATGTTTGGGCACAACTGGACAATCTTCCTAAGTACTTTTGTAATCACAAATAGGGTACATGTTCATTAATAAACAAAAAGTAACATTAGGAATTCCAATGAAAAAAAAAACACTTTATTCCAGTCCTGCAGGACGCGCTTAGCGCGTAGCGGGCGTCTCCCACGTAGGGACCGACAGGGAGTACCTGGCGGCCGCTTCATGGGCCAGCTGGACGCGACAATATGAAGACAACAGTATTCGAAAACAAAGTTCCGTGAAGTGTTTTGTTTCTAGGTACATGCGAAATCTGTTTACACGGCACTGAGTATTGCGCTTCTCTTTATTTTCCTGGTGAACGACGCATAGCAGCAGCGTGTTTTTCTACTTTTAATACGATGGCATCGTAATCTGGAATTCAATAGTACGTCCACCAAATTGAGCTTTTTTGTTTTACTTAAAGCTCTAAAACTCATAAGTTTATATGTACCATGGTTTTCAAAATCCGAGCACACCTAAGCACTTCTTTTGAATGCTTTCGGCATGCCCGGCTCTTCTTTTTATTGAGTGATTTCTTGTGAAATATTCATGAAAAAATTCTAAATCACCGTTTGGTACAGGTATACTATAGCTCCTAACTGAAAGCTCACTTCACATTCACATTTCAACATTTGCATATTATCATATATATTAAGGTTCAACGTCTCAAAACCACAACATAGTTGAGGGGCACCGTGCATGGATGGCTCAAAAAATTTCGGCCTCCTGAGATTCTTTAACGTGCATCTCTACATATATGCGCATGGGCGGGAAGCACTTTTGACTCCTTCGAAAATGCAGCCGAGATTCGATCCCACAACCTTTGTGTCAGCATGTCGGGCACCGTACTATATACTAGACCACCATGACGGATGCATTCACATATATTACAAAATATGAAGTGTATAAGGTACATACGGCGGGATCCAGTGAGCATCGCAAAAACAAAACTTCGATGTTTTGTTCATCACATGAAATTGTGTGTCTTTCGCATCACAGAGCTGCGAAAAATTCACAGTTTCAGGACTCTTCTAAATACACGTAGGGGCTAAAAATTGGTTAAATGTATTTACGCGTTTAAGTGATTTTAGCTGAGGCATATACGGCTGCCATCATCTTGGGCTGTTGAGCCAATGTTTTCTTGTTTTTGTATATTTTGATGGAAATTAATAAGGCCGTGAAACATCATATGCACCAACCCAACCATTCTGCATGTGCATGCATATAATAACACCATTCGTATACTTGCTAAAGGTGCAGAACCCAAAGGTTAACAGCCTGATATGGCGGCCCTGAAACCCACCCATAATATAATATATATATTTGGATACTTTTTTTAGTTCACATGAGCTGAGCGACTTCCAGTGACTTTCTCGACAACGCATCATTTTACGACGCGAACTATAGAGGTCATATAATACGTACTTGCCAAAAAAAAGTTTAAAAAATGTCACACCAAATTACTCTTTATTATTATCATGTCTTTTTTACTGTTTATTTGTCATGTTTGTCTTACCTATTCCGGCTCACCGTAACAACTAAAAGTGATCGGACTGATTGACGTTGCAGAGGGAAGTTAATGAAGGCACACCGTGGCCCACCAAATGAGTACCCTCTGCCCCCACTGGATGCACGCCTCGGAAACACAACCTTTTCCAATACGTTCCGTTTCATACCGCAGCTCCTGCTTAAACACATTACTGTACACGTGGGTGTCTTTCTTTAAAATATTAGGCTGCTCTCATCTTGTGCACATAAGTACACCGAAGATTAGGGCTGCCTTTGGGCCACATAGTGAGATAGCGTGAAGGAGATCCCACAGCGCCCAGGGACATATATGAATGTGACGCGTTGACGAGATCAGAATCACGCCATATATTGGAGTCATAACGGCAACGTGATCCCATATACAGCTATAGGCTCTTCAGAATCAGGTTATCAGCACTTTCCAAATGAGAGAAGAAGAGTTGCCACAAATAGATGGTTATTCGGGATTACAAATGCAAAAGGAACACCGGCCGCAACGATCAGCAGAAAGTAGACGAATATGATTGCATTTAACAAATAAAAAAATACGACATGGGAAAACGAAGCAGCAAAATCTGACGATTTTCCCAACTCTAGAAACTATAGGTAAAAATAAATATTAGGCGTATGAAACGAATTCTCAAATGCATATGGTATATGTTATCACATTCACGTTCCCGCAGAGCAACAAAATCAAAACGGAGCGCCAATATATAAAAGACTTCACACTTATATAACGGAAGACAATTATATAATAGTTCATTTACACTGTGATTTAGAGAGAAGCGTTTGTGAGCAAGGGTCAAATACAAGCTTAAATCCAAATGCTGAACATAGCTGAACATAATAAGCACAGAAATGGGAACAATCCAATGGGTCGCGACGATATGAGCAGGTTTAGAACACGTAAAAACTTCAACATGGATTGCCCACTATATACGTTGGCACTCACGGAAAGCTGTGACATGACAAAAAACGCTTAATATACACCCTAAATAACGCGAACCCTACGCAACATGGCCTTCCGTTTCGCCCCCACAAGTGTCAAGTAGCGCACAGTCGCACCGAAGTTGCTCCATATCCGGAAGCAATAAGATCTCACGAACGAAGCGTAAAGGACCTCAGTAGTTAGTGGCGCTTGTCTGGGGCAGCATATTCTTCGTCGCCTCATCCGTTTCAAGCCGGCTATTGCGGCAGCAAGCGTCGGTTGTCCGCGTCCCTCTCGAGCGCAGCAGCGGCCAGCGCACTGTCCGGTCCGCGCGGCCGGGCGTCGCGCGGGCGGTCCGCCGCTCGCGCTTACCTCGGGCGGTGTTGTGAGAGAGGGAGCCTCCGTGGGACCGCCCTTCGCTCGCAGGGGAGCCGTGCGGCGCCCCCATCCCGCTATGGGACGGACCATTCAGGAACGGCACCGGAGGTGACGTTGGCTGCTTCGCCGGCGAATCCGAGGAGCGCTAGCTTCGGGCAGGCCGCCGTCCCCCCCTCCGCCCCCCTTCCTCTGGCTTCGGCCAAGCGGGGGGAAAACTTGAAGGCACCCGAAGAAGACGGCAGGAAAGAGCGGCGGCCGGCCGGACTCAGCTGCGGTCCTTGCGGGGGCACCGAGAGCGGGCTTCGCCACTCGGCAGCAGAGAGCCCCCACCCCTGGGCGCGGCGAAGCGTGGCGGGGACCCTCCCAGGGTTCCTCCTCCCTCGAAACCCTTGCCTTGGAGCGCACCACCAGGAGCAGCCAGGTGTCACAGAAGGCCCCGGCGACCCTTTCGGGATGGCAGCGCTCCGGCCCGTACCTCGCGCGGGACCCCCACGAGGGGCCTGAGCCATCGCACGTGGGATTGACACCGGTGCACCGAAGGGATTCACGACCGTGCTTGGCACTTCTGTGATTGCTACGACCCTCTTGTGAACCGTGATCGTTTTTCTTTTCTGCGTCAGCAGCTGCGGTGCCTCGTAGCCTGCCTGGACTGTGTGTCGGCTGGTGAACCTCATGGAGAGGCTCATGATGAGGTGAGTTTCCGCTACCTTACCTCGGTCGAGCGGGAGCAGTGACTGCTGCGATGAATTGTCACGCCGCGACCAATGAGCGCGGTTGCTGAGGAAATAGTAAAAGTGTAGTAACACGCAGTTACTACATTTTTACTCATTTTATCTCACCCTCCCTGAAATAGCAGCCACACTGAGAACATTACTGTGACGGAATGTGCCTATTTACAGCGATACTGTGTCTGTAAAGCCGTAATTGGGAAAATCAGTGCGAGGTTATTTCTAATCTGGGAACGTTAGTGAGCCTGAGGATGGTAGTGTAATCTGATCGTTGACATTGGTGAAGTATGGCTTTGGTAGATGACAGATATCGAAGGTACGAATAAAGCTGCACATTATGTTTAGAAATAGATGTTTTCGGTGCTTAGAGTTCGTGGTCAGTGCTTGTTAGAACAGTAGTTATTAGCGCTCTCGGATGTATGACTGTTGCAGCTGTTATTTGAAAGTTTTCCCCCAGTCGTTTGATACAGTGGGGGAGACAGAGAGTGAAAGATGCAAGGAAAGATGCAAAGATATAGTGGAAGGTTGCTGGGGAAAGCTATAGGCTGGCTTCCACCTAGTGTGGCGGACGCACCCCACTATACTTGTATATAACCCTACTATATATGGCCCCACTATATATGTATATGACCCTGACCCCACTATATATGTATATGACCCCACTATATATGTATAGATGAGCGCATGCAGAGGCGGGGGGGGGGGGGGGAAGGGGGCATCTAGACAATTTACAAATTGACATAACAAAAAAAGGAGCCGTTGTGAATGTGAAGACCCCCCCCCCCCCCCGTGAATGAAAACCCTGCACACGCCTAAATTTGGGTCTGAGAGGAATGCACTTGATTGCAATTTTTCTATATAGTTTCATGACTGAAGGCCAGTAAACTATGCTAAGCTGCGCATCATTCGAAGTGGAAATCTTCCAATCGCTGTTTAACTGCTTGCGTATTGAGGCATATGAAAGTTGCTTGTATTATTTGACTTGTTAAACTATAGTTTCTGTTAGCTGTACGACCCGCCAGCCTGCAGGTCTTCAACGCGGTGACATCCGATAGATCACTGGTAATATAGTGTTACATATCCATAAAAAAAAATCTCACAAACTCACACTCGATTCATTACCCCTGCGCACACGTTTGTTGTTATAGGCAAGATGACAGAACCCTGTAAATGAATGACAAACGAAACACGTGAGTGTGATGTGAAGTGTTGTCCCTTCACGGCTTGCCTTTCTCTTCAGTTGTCAAACATTCTGCACAATCAACGTGACTGTGACCTGTTTCTGACTGAGTATACGTGAAAAAAAAAAGATCGCACTGTTAACTCGAAATGGCTTTTCTTCGACAGGACAATTCCCTGTATATAAAAACCTATAGCCGACCATTTACACCGGAAAGCATTTCTCTGAAAACAAAATCCACAAGGTGCACGTGCCTTGCGAATCTATAAACAAGACCCACCATTACCTCTGTCTCAAATCGCATCTGATAGCCTGCATCGCTCCCTGCTCAGATATACTCCTTTTTCGATTTTCGGCTTTACTTTCTATATTTTTTTAGCCCAAAATTACGTTTTGTTTGAAAAACCATTAGTAATTTAGTTAAGATCCTGCCGCCCGGTTCTTGGCCGATCCCCCTTTGTGGGTGTGCGCCAGAGTATCAAGGATCATCATCATCATCATCAAACGAGAGGATCAAGGCTGCAGCTGATGGGACGCTATAGAACGCATACACACACGGCGCTGTGAAGCGGTGCGACGTATAATGACCCATCTCGCCGACGTATGCACTGCGCTTACGATCAGAGTTTGGCGTAACCCGCGGTGGGTATGGCGTCCACTGCGCACGCTGTAGCAGCATTATAGAGGACGTAGCACGCATGAAGAGCAACAACAGATGCAACGGGTCCCTCTTCCGTTTTTGCGCAAAACTGCAACGGCGCGTCACATTCTGACGCTGAAGAAGGGCATACACGGAGCTTGTCCCGGCGCGCCGGTCGGATGTGAGGCGCGCCGTGAGTGCCTATATATACGGGAGAAGGACATACAAATCCGAGGTGGCCGACGTCTGCATGGCCGAGCCTTCCTCTTTATGTGCTTCACGCCGTGAGCTTCCTCTTTACGACGTGACATCTCCTCGAGGTATACGAGCGCGGAATACGTAAACAGAGAAGGTTTGCCTCGCCCGCAGACATGACCTCAGTCTGCTAAGCAGGCAAGCCTGAATTTACGCTCTGGTGGCAAATTACACTTCGCATACAACTGCGCGCGAAACTAGCCTGGCTATAGCCCCGATTACCGTACTATGTAAACGGGCTCCGCTGCTACGAGTGCCTTTTATAGGTCCCCTTGCTGCATACGTCACCATGGGAAACTTTGTTTAAGCTCGTTTCCCTGGTTGCTTAAAGCTGACGCCCCTGTAAAACTTAGTGTAGCCTGATATGCGTAGCGACAATGCCCAACCTCGTAGAGCCGACTAAGACGCCACAGAAAAGGCCGATTGCTTTCTTTTTTTATTATTATCACCGCTGCCCAGGAAGTTGTTCCACAGAGAAATAGCTTATACCTAACTGAATCTGGCTATCATGAACAACCTGGAGATAATCACCGTTGCGAAGCGTTAGGCATCGAAGGCTATAGCAGCTTCTAGAATGGGAGGTTGTGTCGCAGGGTGTTAAGTGGCTGAGTTGCTTCTAGTCCCATAGTTCATGTATCAAATCAGGTAATCGACATGACCAACCACTCTCCCCCTTTTCAATTGTCGCTTTACAGACAGACATATAAATTGGTGTATCCGTGTTTTTGGCCGAACATTCTTTCCTTTTCATTTCGTAGCTGCACCATGTTCTTTCTTCTATTTTACTGATTATTATTTTTTTACAGAGGTATAAACCTTATGAGACTTTATAGATTTTCTACAACTGCGGTTTGCTTGCGATTAGCCAACGCGTTTGACACGTGTTCGCGAGTTCTCAAACAGAGATATGGATTTTTCACATTATAGGAATCAGGTCCCGAATGGATACATGTAAAATTAAGATATACACTACGAAATGCAAACCGCGTCATGTTAAGCATATCGTTAGCAAAGGTGGCCTGGCCAGTCAGAAACAGCACTGACGAACACAAACCATCATATTGCTTATCATATATTACTCTTTCGTACACCTGCAAAGAGCATGCCGTCAACCATTGCGATGAGTTTCGATCGTATACAGATTACTCCAAACATCGTCAAAACACGTTCAAGGCAGAAGTCAAGCTACTCCGAGCACACAGTGAGGGTATCGCTGTTGTTGTGTGAACCGTACACCATGGTGTCCCGATTCGTTACCCTTCCTCAAGATCCATCACCTCTCCTCTTTTCAAAAAAATAAATGTCATTATTATTTAAAATAATAATAAAAACACATTTCCTACGCCTTTTTCACTGGCCTGGAAGACTTTGCCGTGGCTTCCCGGTTTACACATTAAAGGCTGATACTGATAGCACGCATTTCATTTTCAACTTGAGCGCATGTCATTTGCTAAAGTGTACATGCTTTCCATGGGTTTGTCTGAAATTCACTTTACTGGAAACGTTTCGGAAATGAATGTTTAGGGACGTTAAGCTTGACTATATATACACGACAATTCATCACCCCTTGGTTAATGAACTGCTGCTTGCGCGCCAAAACGCCTCATTTGGCCCATCTCATTTCTCCCGAAATTAGAGGGAGCGGTGGAGCGATCAATCGCGCTGTACAACGAGCCCTGCATCCACGGCAGGTGAAAAGATGCACCAATTTCGACGTCAACTCGGATGACGGAAGAACCAAATACGCACGATATCGTCAACTATGCGTCTCCGTTTTGTTTTGTTTTTTTGTTTTTGTTTTTGTTTTTCATTTTCTCTTCTTTCCCTAGCGGGTGCAATAACGCTCGCTCAGACAGACACCCGTGGTAGAGATTTCCCGGCGTTATAGTTATCGAGACAGCGTCAAGTACGCTCGCGAATGCACAAACGTCGAATGTATGGACACGTAATGACCTGCACCAGTGCGGCAGAGGTGGCACAATGCCTCCGCCTAACCGGCATGCCTAACACGCGCTACCGATCAGCCGGCACCTTCCGCAACACGCTTAGCACCTCTCGGGACGCGAGACCCGAGCGACCAATTATCGCATTACAAACCGGAGCCCTAAAAAAAAAAGAAGGGACGCAGAGAATCGGAGCACCCCCTGTTACACGGCGGTTGTTCCGCGCGCGCGAAACACGCAAACGAGAGCAATCGCACAACAAAGGAACGTGCAGGCGGGTACACGCTACCCCCCTCGTCGCCTCTTTAACAAGTGCGGACAAATGAAAGGCTTCCGATAATGGGCGCCGAGCGATGCTGCCGGAGCATGCGAATTCCCAAAGGTGCCGAAGATACAACAAGGCGGCGAATCATAATACGAGCAGCAGCGGTTCTTATCGGGCGTTAGAATCAGCAAACTATCTAACCCTCTCGGTACGCGATCACGAAGGCCATCCTTGCTCGCGTCGGATGCGGCCGATGCTCTTCGGCCTGGTCGTGCGCGGGGCGCGCGATGTAATGTGATAAGCCACGCCTTTTCGGAGGATGCCTGTCGGCGCACCGCGGGGCTAAACTGGTAGCCGAAAGCGTGACCATTACATGTCAGATGATAGTCGGCCAAAAGGCGCTTGTCCGTGCTCGGATAGAGTGTGTAATCGCGCGTCGTGAGTTTCCCCGCCCTCCCCGGCAGTCTCCTCTCGCGCGGCGGCATCGCCCAGGAATCGTCTCTCCACGCACGAACCAGTGCGGAGGGTGCGAGCCGAAAACGACCAACAAAACATTGATTCACTCTCGGTATTGTTGAGTCTCCCTCGCTTTGCTTATTATCTATCAAGACCCCGTTGAAAGGCGAGAATGAGAACTTTGTGCATACAAGCAAGCAAGGATTATTGTAAAAAAAAGCAAGA